TTCTGTACCCGTGAGATCCCATCTAGGGGCCTTTTCTGACATCCTGCCAGAGGGGGGTTCGATCACGGAGGGCTTCTACATCAACTCTATTGCCCTTTTGATGAAGTGTGAGTAGTTTACCTCAGACCTACTGGTCCATGGCTAGTAGCTAGATGGCTTGTTCTCTCTCTTTGATTCTCAATACCATGTTCTCCTCGATGTTCTTGGAGATCTATTCAATGTAATCTTCTTTTGCGGTGTGTTTTTTGAGATCCGATGAATTATGGATTTATGATCAGCTTATCTATGAATATTATTTGAATCCTCTCTGAATTCTTATATGCATGATTTGATATCTTCGTAATTCTCTTCGAACTATCTGTTTAGTTTGGCCAACTAGATTGGTTTTTCTTGCAATGGGAGAAGTGCTTAGCTCTGGGTTCAATCTTGCGGTGTCCTTTCCCAGTGACAATAGGGCCAGCAAGGCACGTATTGTATTGTTGCCATCGAGGATAAAAAGATGGGGTTTATGTCATATTGCTTGAGTTTATTCCTCTACATCATGTCATCTTAGTTAATGCGTTACTCTGTTCTTCATGAACTAAATACTCTAGATGCAGGCAGGAGTCGGTCGTTGTGTGGAATAATAGTAGTAGATGCAGGCAGGAGTCGGTCTACTTGACACAGACGTGATGCCTATATTTCATAATCATTGCCTTAGATATTGTCATAACTTTGCGCTTTTCTATCAATTGCTCGACAGTAATTTGTTCACCCACCGTATTATTTGCTATATTGAGAGAAGCCACTAGTGAAACCTATGGTCCCCGGGTCTATTTTCCATGATATAAGTTTCCGATATACTATTTTGCAATCTTTTACTTTCCGGTCTATAAACAAAAAATACTAAAAATATTTATTTTATGTTTTGTTTAGTTTCATCTATCTCATAAGATCTCACTTTTGCAAGTGACCGTGAAGGGATTGACAACCCCTTTATCGCGTCGGGTGCAAGTTGTTTGATTGTTTGGGCATGTATTGGTGATTTGTGCATTGTATCCTACTGGATTGATACCTTGGTTCTCTAACTGAGGGAAATATTAATCTCTACTTTGCTGCATCACCTTTTCCTCTTCAAGGGAAAAACCAACGCAAGCTCAAGAAGTAGCATAGGTCATTAAAAAAATTAGAGGGACAACCATATGGCTCCGCTCCGGCGTCATACTCACGACACACGGGTCATGATATATGCATGCAATCTCATGAGCTATGCAAAAGCACAAGCATATATTGTTCGTAAGAACAAGTTAGATGTTCTAACACCGAAGGTTAAGGCATCCAAAAATATATTTTGCCAGGGGAATTGGGCCTTATAAAAGATGTCAAAACTGACAAAGAAGGTCATGGCCGGATACAATTTTCCCTCCTGAGCATTTGGCAGGTCTTATAGCTCGAATGGAGTTCGACCAAGTGATGGTCATTTTGCCGAAACAACTCAAACATGTTTCTTCACCGAGAAAATTATATCTACCCAATTTTCATCTTCAATCTAATTCAACATTGATCTACGTGTGCTGCAAATAGTTTCATGCTCTGCAATTTACCCTGATGGCGAAAACTAACTGTTAGGGGTACATTGTGTAACGACCTTTGCCGCACGATTACAAAAACCATATCATCAATCCAATCCACAAACGCCATGTATAGTCGATGACATCGACCTGTACAAGAACCAATCTACGTATCAACGGTATCACCATATGCAAATTATCTGAATCTGAAATCACGCAACATAGTCTCTAATGGCATTATTGGTGCATGCGGTACGTTACGCTAGTGCAAAAAAAATCTATCGCATGAACCAGGGTCATGTTGTGGAGGTAGATCACGGTATCGGGTTTTACCACTAGACGCACAATCATGACAACAAAATGTGAGTTGGGAAAGTGCCTCTCCCATTTTGTCTGTGTCGATCTCTCGAATAGTTCCTCGCGGTTCCCTCAAATGGTTCGTCCAAGCGTCATAGATGAAACACCTCCAAGGTATTCACATGTGCATGGGGGAACGTCAAATTATAATTACTAGATCCGATCGCACAACATGGACGTGGGAGTGGTGGTAGCTAGGTCGTGGGACTATGTTGCCCTTTCCAGGATCTCACGCCTTTCACTTGTATAAGTCAGAAATGGTCTCAACACTTGAGGCTAGTTAGGACTCTAAGTCCAATTCCACTTGGATCCAATCCAACTGGGTTTCTAGTCTAGCCTATTTATACCCACACATATCCCATGAGTTCACTCGAAGGAAACTCCACCCCCATCATTTTTTCTAAGGGAGAACGCCACCTTCTTATGATGATTTCAAAGATAGATATAATATAACAATCAAGCCAAGTCTTTGATATCTGATCCCCACCTTGCTTTCCACTCCTACCTCTCCAGTCCAAAAACCCTATCTTGAGAGTCTTTTGAAGTAGAAGAGCAAGAAATTCATCACCAAGCAACCTCAACCTTATTGCTTTTGGAGGGTGTGTGCCTCGTAGATTGGCTAGGTGCTTGGAAGTCTTCAAGTTGTGAAGAAACCAAGAATTTTTGTGTGGTCTTGGAGATTGCCTACTTCATGAAGATCTACCCCGAGTGAGGCTAGACCTTTGTGGTCGTAAGCCATGATGGCATAATCAACCAGGGGGTTGGTTGCTCCTTCGTGGACCCTTAGTGGGTGATAATCCAGAGTGAGCTCGTTCATTTGTGGAAGTCAAAACTGGGATCTCTGTGATTCTAGAACATTTATGGATCAAAGCCACCATCAACGTGGAGTATGACAACGCCAACTATCCGAACCACTGGAAAAATCTTCATCGAGCCACCCCATGTTTGCATTCCACCAACTACTCTTACTTATACTTGTAAAAATTTTTGCTTTCCATTGTTATACTCTATTAGACTTGCATGTGTAGGGTTATTGATAGGCTACCAATAAAAAATCATAAAATTGCGTAGGAAACTTAATTGAGAAAATAGTCCCTTTGATTTGCTTGTAGTCTATTCACCCCCTCTGGACTATACTAAGTGGTCCTACATGTGGTATGAGAGTTTTGATCTCCTTAACGAGGTCCTCCATTAGTTAATCCTTGGTAAATTGACCATTGCATTGGCTTCACAATTTAAGGAGAGTAGTATGTCTAGTAAGGGAGGATGTCACTACGATGGTGCTTACTTTGAAGGAACAGAATATGCTAGTTGGAAATGCATGATGATTGCCTAGTTTCTTTAACTAGGACCGGACATAATGAACTCATTGAGAATGATTGTGTGCCTCTATTGGATCATCTTCACCCAACTCCCAAGAAGAACATGACTTACACCTCAATGCCCAAACTACCAATGCTATATCGAGAGGTATAAGTTACCATGTGTTGAAGAGAATCTACTTATTTGACAATGCTCATGAAGTGTGGAAGCAACTTGAAGATCTTTATGACAAGAAAGTTGCTCCTCCTCATCATCCTCAAATGAAAGGTAAATCTAAGGTAAACATGAGGAACCTCACTGCTTGGATGAATTGAGGGCCATTTTCCCTCATGCCATGCCAATCATTATGAATTTTGATGCCGATGATCCAGCCTTAGGCAACAAGTTGATGACTTGTATGGCGCCATCCGCAACAGGGGTGACGTTAAGAACATAATGACTATTCTATCTTGTGTTCTTGAAGCTAACCTTTTGAAGGATACAAAAGATGAAAGTGAAAGCGGAAGTGAAGATGACAATACCAAGTGCAATATGTGAAGAGGGCATACAAGTTATTTTTTTAGTGGAAAAGAATATGTATTCGATAGTGGGTGCACCGACCACATGACCGGACATAGAGATATGTTCCATGGCTTTGAAAAACATGGCGCTCCAAGAGAAGTGTCACATTTGGAGATAGATCCAAAGGTAAGGTGGACATCTCGAAAGACTCAGTGAGGGAGGGGGTGCTTGTAGCTGTGGGAAAAACACTTTGGACAAGCGTCAGTTGTCTCGGTCCACGGATTAATCCAAGGATCATCTCTCTTGTCATGGGAATTTCATAGTAGGAACTATTCTTCTTTACGGTGTTGTACAAAGTACTAATCGCGGAGGCATCTCGGAAACGTTTCACGCGAATTCCGCAAAAGAGTGCGCTAGGAGTCCGTTTCAGGATTCCATTTGTGTATTGCTAAAAATAGCCCCTCTCTCGTTTCCCGCTCACCGATCCTGAAAATTCGCACATTACAACCCATCATTATGTATTGCTGAAAATAGCTCGCACTACCTGGTCCCTAAAATTCCGAACATTACCCCCAAGCGACGACTCGCACGTTACTACCTAGCCACGCCGCCCACCGCCCCTTCACCATACACGTGTAGCGACGGTTACTAAAATGCGCGAGGCAAAATTGCTGGAACCGAGGAGAGCGGTTAATTGCGGCCATTTAAACACGGGTAAAGGGTAAGTCTTCCCTTCCCACACGCTCCCTAGGTCTACAAGAGAAAAAAATTACACCTTTTTTTTTAATGGAGGGAGTTGTACATCAGATAATGATGTATAGGTGTTAAAAAAACAGATACTGATGCACAGACTTTTTTTTTTAAGAGAGAGAGTTGCACAAAGTGTCGTTTTTATTTCATGGTGCAACTATTTCCCCTTGCTTGCCAGGAGATAAAAACTCTTATCAGGGTCTGTGCAAACTGCAAAGTACCGAGCGCAAAAGACATCTCAGAAAGTTTACCTCTGTTAGAAGAGAATCTGAGAGCAAGCAGATAGCCATGGCTAGCCCAGTTCCCCACCGAGCGACACAACCCAAAGCTCCCAAGCCTAGCGACACAGAGCAAGAGGGGGCGTGCTTGCTTGTTGCGGTGGGCAAAACATTTGGACAGGCGCCGGTGGTCACGGTCCGCCTCGTCTCGCCCCTCGCCTATTTAAGGCGGGACACACCCACCTCACTTCCCAGAAGTTCCCCCTCCCATTCCCCCTCCTCGCCCCCCTCCCCTCGGGGGATGCCCGTGCGCTCTCCTCTCGCTCCACACTTCGCTCTCAGTCCCTCCCAACCCTCTCCCGTCGCAGCGCAGCCGCGGCGGGCGCCCATGGCAGAGTAAGTGAGCCGTGTCCCTCGCAAAAAAAAAAAGTGAGCCGCGTCTGGGCTCTGTTTCTACTCCTACTTTTCTGCTGCTCGGGATCCTTTTTGTTTTATTTTCTCACGTGGTCTGGTCTGGTGGTATTATCTGTTTCTGAGTCGTGAGGGGTCTGGGTTTCGGGTTGATCCGGAGGGGCGTCGCGGTTGATCAGCGAGCGGTGGGTTCCGGTAGGTGGTTTTTGGAGAAGATCGGATGGTGATGACGTTCCTCCGGAGTTTGAGCGCGTGGGAGAGGAGATGTCAGTCTGACGTGGCGATGAGTGTGACATCGTCGGGGAGCAGCCCGGTGTGACTCCGCCGACGTGATTCCGGCCAAGTTCCTTTCTTTGTTTCTGTGGCACTGCGGTTTTTTGGGGGGTGGGGGAGCTGTCATGGCGGATGAGGAGCCTTCCTCTCGAAGGAAGCAGAGAAATTCTCGGGAAAAAAAAGACGGAAGCAGAAGAAGGGCGACGCGTCGGCCGTCGCACCGCCGGCGTGAATCCTCCGTGCCGCCGTCGTGAATCCGGCCCGGTGTTACTCTTCGTTGCAGCGGCGGTGCAGGGGTTTCACGATCGATCTGCTTGAGGTGGTGGTGGAGGAGGAAGCAGAGAAGGGCTCTGTTCTCATCTCGTGGTCGCAGCTGTCTGTCACACAGAGAGAGAGAGAGAGCAGAGTAGGGATCGCAGATTTGTGCTATTTGATCGTCGTCGAGTTGCATCACACCTCGTTCGGAACTCTTCAGTTTAGCCTCTCCAGGCTTCATTTGTAGTGACACACAAATGACAGCTGTAGGTTTCAGAACAGAGCACCTGTTCTTAAATTCCAGTGATTCTTGCGGAAACTTTTTTTTTGACGGGTCTTGCTGGAAACTGTTGGTGGCATTCTGTGAACCTGATCATGATTCCACATGTTGTTTAAATCATTGGCTATTTGGCTTTGGTTGTTAAGATCATCGGGCATACTCTGCAATCTGCATTAGTCTCCTCATTCCTCTGAAACAGGGTTCAGTGATCTATATCTGTCTTTGGCTTAATAGCAATGCAAGACGAAAGATCTGGAAGTAATCATTTATCTATCAAATTTATTGAGAATTACCAGTACATAATTAATTATCTTCATTCCTACGATTTTTCTGAGTTAGTGAGCAGTGACTATTCTTGATTAGTTGGCTTTAAGTTCATGGCAGTTAATATTCTATGACTGAACCTAGAATTCATATAGATGACTGTCTGTGTAAAAATTCTTTCATATATTTCCATTTAGCTTTGTTGCTACATTTGTGAATCTAGAAAGAGGTAGATATTGTTTTGTTGAATTTACAAGTGGGATTTGTATCATGCATAATTAATTGAATTTGTTATCTCACAGATTCTTCAGGTCACTGATCGTTACTGCCAACACAATTGCTACCATGATAATTCATCCCTCGCTTTGCCAGAGTGAGGAATTGCTTGCATGGATGGAGTGCCCAAATTGCAAGTACCGCATTGATAATACTGATGTAAGTATCATCCACTCTTTACATTTAGTTTTATGCTCGGTTCTCCCCTGTTTCTGATTTCTTGGCATCTTGTGGTTGCACTTCATGCTTTGTGTTGCAGGTTTTATCACAGTGGCCAGGACTCCCTGCTGGTGTTAAATTTGATCCAACTGATCTCGAACTGCTTGAACATTTAGAAGGAAAGGTTGGCGGGGCAGCGTCCCATGTACTAATAGATGATTTTATTCCAACCATAGAGGAGGCCCAAGGAATCTGCTATACACATCCGGAAAATCTCCCTGGTACATTATTCTTACTTGGACCTGCTATCAGGGCCTTCTGAATTAAATAATTATACCATGCAGAGTAATTCTTGGTAGTTAACTCATATACCCCTGTAGGTATCAAGATGGACGGGAGCACCGGTCACTTCTTCCACAAAGTATCCAATGCATACGTTGTTGGCAAGCGTAAGCGTCGCAAGATTAGCAATAGTGAGCACACTGTTTGTGATGAGAATCTCAGATGGCACAAGACTGGAAAATCCAGATCTATCTTAGATAATAACGGTGTCATAAAAGGGTGGAAGAAAATATTGGTTCTTTACATAGGTTATCGGAAAGGAGGTGGCAAGACAGAGAAAACTAATTGGAGAATGCATCAGTACCACCTTGGGGTAGATCAAGATGAAAAGCAGGAGGAGCTTGTTGTTTCCAAAGTCTTTTATCAGGTGCAGTCAATGAATGCTGGGCCCTCTGCAGACTCGTTGCCTCTGCAGACTCGTCGCCCAAACGGTAGTCCATCCGGAACCGAGCAGAATCAGGTATGTCCATTGACCTATGTCAAAGATTTTGTCTATTATGGATCATATAAAGCTTCAGTTTTCCTATATACAGTTCATGAAATAAATCCTATGTACATCCAATGAACTCTGTTTGTAGGATTCCTTCTCAGAGTATTGGATTAATAGTACTGATCTGTTGGTGAATTACTGGGATCCCTGAAACAAGGCCTTGCAATACTAGAATCCCACTGTTGCAATTCCTTCTCAGCTGTATACTGCACAAAAATTTATAAGATGCTCCTACTACAGAGGAGAATTTCCTCTGCTTGCAAGAGTGCATCCAACAGTCTCACAAATATATCATGAGCTTTTAAGTCCTCTATGTAAAGATTCACATTATGCATTTTTCTTCCTAAATGAGCACTGTGCATACACTCAGCGGTCTGCATTCAGCAGAATACAATGTCACCTTGTAAATTGTTACAACTCCTGCATCTCACTGTCATTCATGTTACCACTGTGATTGTGACAGGAGGAAGGACAGTCCGGCATGTCTACTGTTCGGGAAGCCGTGGAATGGCTCGCTGGAAGCTCGTCGCATGCCGTGGAGGACGCACCGCTGTCTGGCCTGGATGAGCACCTGTCAAGCGACGGAACCCCGGACGCCGCATACCCTGTGGGGCAGCCTCTGCCTCTTGACGCGTCGGAGGCGCTCCAGGGGTTCGCCGACCTCGGAGCGCCTCCGGATGTCTCCCTTCCGCCCGTAAGTGCACCGAGTGCCGCCGCGTTCATGCTCGTTTCGTTTCCCCGACCCCGCTGCATATTTCTCATGGCTCATCTCCTTGTCTCGTGTGTGTGTTTGCGGCAGCACACGCAGTTCGGGCGGCAGGATAGCATGGAGATGTGGCTGGTCAGCGTGTTAACAGAGGATGAGGGTGTGTTTGAAGCAGCGGAGCAACAAGAAGAGGCTGGTTTTTCTCCGTGATGTAGTAGTATGTTGTATCTCTGTGCATGAGCGATGGATCTCCTAGAAAATTTTGTATATGATCCTGGAGCTTGCCAACTGAACGTAGCTCGGCTATGTTTAATGTTTGTTGTAGTAAGTAGCAGACATTTGTTTTCAAATGTAAATGTGGGAGCACCGCTTCCAATTTCATAGCCATGAAAGTCTGAATGATATACAACAGTCAATCCTTTGAAACTTTTCAGTACAAAACAAACCCACAACGCGCCTAGTGCTTGATCCTGAATTACCTGACCAAATAGCGAACTAGTGGTGGCAGCTCGGGGGACGATTAGGTTTTCCCTCCGCCGCCACCCCATGACGCGCCCTCCCTCGCTCCCGCTGCCAGTGGCTACCGGCCCGCGGCGGCAGCGAGGAATCCCGCGCCTCCTTCTCTTCCACCTCTGCTTCCTCCCCTCCGGACTCCGGTGGCCCCCTTCCCGTGCGCGAATCGACCGCGGCCATAGCTCTGTGCTTCAACTTCTTCGCGAGCACGTGGTATGGTTGGGACTAGGTGGCGCGGCTCTTCTCGACGCAGTCGTGGACGCCGGCCCCGGCAGCCGGTGTCAGGATCCAGGACCCGCTTCATGCTTGTCTGAAGAACTTCAGTTAAGTTTGAATCAAAGGCTCATTGGCACGAAGCTTAGGTAACCGTCCATCGTCCATCCAACGCTCTCCGTTCCTCCGTACCGCTTCGCATGTTATGTGTTAAACATCATTGATGTACCCCTCGTCCTTTTTAGTTTGCATATAGGTTTTGTTCAAAGTCAAAGCGTCTCTAATTTGACCAAACATATAAAAAAAAATATATTTGGTATTATAGATGTTGATATTTTTTAATATAAATTTAGTCAAACTTTGCAATGTTTGACTTGACAAAGATCTAATACGGAGAGTAAAAATGATTGGAGGGAGTACACAATGCATGGTTACGTAACAGATCAATATTTCCACGCGATCCATGATCTTCAAATTTCGGCCTAGAGATAGAGTAGACTCGAAAGTTATCTTGTTAGCCGCAATCTCTCGCTCCCATCCTTTCCTTGTACTCCAAAATGTACCTCAACAATGTATGCTTAGGGCATCTTTAACAGCAATCCGTAAATTTTCTCCCGCATCCCAGTCCACGAACTCGGATGCGGGAGATCACCATCCAACGCTAGTCGCATACATTACAAACTTTTTTTTAACAAACCCGATGAAATTCATGCAAACTCGGCCGAATTTCATATAAACATGACGGATTTCATACTAACCAGACGAAAACTGTTACATTTTGAACATTGAACTAAAAACGAAGCAGAGTTAGTCTACGGCTGGCGCGGCGGGTCTCCAACTCGTCCCCGTGACCGGCAGCGGTGAGCCCCAGACGTATATGCTTCAACGCAAAGGACGGCTCACTTCCCCACCGCTCATCAAAGTGGAACCGCCACCTGATGCTTCAGTCGGAGGGGAAGGGTCCCTACGCTGCATGGACCAGGGTTGAGTTTTGGGTAGACGGTGGCCCATGAGAGGGCAAGACACTGTCTCTGTATGCCGGCGGTGCCTCGGCAGTGGCCTTCATGGGTCCCAAGCAACGGCGCCCTCCCTTGTTCTACTTCTCCTCGATGATGGCGGCGGACTCAGACGCGCTGGCCACCGACTCGACGACCTTCATGCACCCGGTTTCTATCTCCGCCTCCATGGCACGGTCGCAGGCGCGGGAGACACGGTCACAGACACGGGAGGCGGGGTCGCAAACACGGGAGGTGCGGGACGACACGGCGTCATCGACGTCAGTGTTGATGATCGTGCCACCGTGCTCCCCGCCATGCCGGCGAGGCTCCGTCGGACTGGGCGAGGGAGGTGGAGCAGCAAGCTGCCGACTTTTATGCCGGAGAACTGCTCTTCTAGCTCGTCGGATGACATTGAAAGATTGGAGAAAATGGTGGAATGAGGAGATGGAGAGAGGAGGAGTGGTGCGATTCTTGCCTGGCGTCTGGCCTGGTTTATATAGAGGGCGGACGGGTGGAGCCTGCTCGGTGTTGCGTTTAATGTCGGCCGCTCGATAATGGACGTGTGGCCGAAGTAGGTTTCTCAGCTTCCACGTGGGGTTAATGGAGGCATTTGAATGCGACGAGGAGGCGTGTTTGGCCGTACGTGCAGCGGGCGGCACCCTCGGCCTGCAACGTATCTAATTTTTTTTATTATTCCTTACTATTATAGTATCAATCTTGGATGTTTTACATGCAATTATATGATATTTTATATCATTTTTTGGGACTAACCTATTAACCTAGTGCCCAATGTCAGTTTCTGTTTTTTTTTCTTGTTTTTGGCTTTTCAGAAAATAAATATCAAACGAAATCCAAACGAAAAAAAACTTTGGATTAATGTTTTCTGGACCATAAGGGACCCTAGAAGCTTTGGGAGGAGACCAGACAAGATACAAGAGAGCCACAAGCTCGAGGGGGGCTCCCTAGGGGGGTAGGCGCACCCCCTGAGCTTGTGGGCCCCATGTAGCACTGTTTGACCTAATTCCAGGCCTATAAATTCCCAAATATTCTCAAACAAAGGAGCCACCCGAAACAGTTTTTCTGCCAGCGCAAGCTTCTGTCCTTCTGCGATCCCATTTGAAGGCCTTTTCGAGTACTCTGCCGAAGGGGGAATCAATCACGGAGGGCTTCTACATCATCCTTGCCGCCCTTCCGATGATGCATGAGTAGTTTAACATAGACCTATGGGTCCATAGCTAGTAGCTAGATGGGTTATTCTCTCTCTTTGATCTTCAATACCATGTTCTCCTTGATGTTCTTGGAGTCCTATCCGATGTAATCTTCTTTTGCAGTGTGTTTGTTGGGATCCAATGAATTGTGGGTTCATGATATAAAATATTCATGAGAAGTAATTAAGTCTTTTCTGAACTTTATTATGCATGAATTTTATAGCTTTGTATTTTCTCTCTAATCTCTTTGTTTGGTTTGGCCAACTAGATTGATTTATTTTCAGTGGGAGAGGTGCTTTGGGTTCAATCTTGTGATACTCTATCCCAGTGACAGAAAGGGACAAGGCACATATTTGTATTGTTGCCATTAAGGGTAAAAGGATGGTGTTTATTCATATTATTTGAGTTTACTTTGTCTAAATCATGTCATCTTGCTTAAGATTTTACTCTATTTTTATTAACCTAATACACTAAATGCATGCTGGATAGCGGTTTGATGGGCGGAGTAATAGTAGTAGATGCAGGCAGGAGGCGGTCTACTTGTCTCGGACGTGATGTCTATATACATGATCATTGCCTTGGATATCGCCTTATGTGCCTTCCTATCAATTTCCCAACAGTAATTTGTATACCCAGTGTATGCTTTGTATTCGAGAGAGAAGCCTCTACTCAAAACTATGCCCCCCGGGTCTCCTTTAATCATATATAAAAACCAAAATACCTTTGCTGCAATTTTATTTCTTTTACTTTGTTTGGCAATTTATCTATCTACCACCACGATATATAATCCTTGCAATTAATGAGTTCAAGGGGATTGATAACCCTTTTGCCCGCGTTGGTTGCAAGTATTTGCCTTTGGGTGTGCAGGTGCTGTTCAGGAGGCTTTGCATGATTCTCCCATTGGTTCGAAAAACCTTGGTTCTCACTAAAGGAAATACTTATCTCTACTATATTGCATCTCTCCTCCTCTTCGGGGAAAATCCCAACGCAACTCACTAGTAGAAGGAAGAATTTCTGGTGCTGTTGCCGGGGAGGATTCACGCCAAAGTAGTCTCCCGTCAACTTGCCAATTTCTGGTGTCGTTGCCGGGGAGACATCATCATAACATATCAAGTACCTTCGCACAAATTAACATCTACTTGCTCTACTTTTTATTTGCCTTTTCCTGTCATTTTCATCTCCCCCACTTCTCATAAAAAACACAAAAAAAAATCTCAGTCGAATTATTACTGAAAGCATCCGTACCTGCTAGTTACTTGCAGATTCATAACTCATCTATTTTTCCAACTTCTTATTAACACACCTTATACGTGTCGGTTCAATCCATGCTTTAGGCATGTAACGTAATATTTTTAAATCTCAGCCGTAATTATTACTGATCAACGGTGCATATAATTTTAACATATGTGGAAGAACGTGGTGTCTTGTTTGACTTATGTTTTAAATATATAATAGAAGATTACAGTGGGAGAAGATACAAAACTCCTTGATAATATTATGACAAATTATTCTCAATGGCACACTGTTGGGGATATGACCCCGCGATATAACCCGCCCAGAAAGGGTCGGGTTAGACCGTTGGCGACTCACGAAGTTAAAGCCTCAGACGACTTAAAGCCCAAGACCAGAAGAAGACGCGTGGCCTGGAGGTGTAAGCCGTCCTACGGTGAGTTGTTACAGAAGGCAAGGCGACTTAGAGCTAGGATTGGTCACGGATCGTGACCCGACCCGAACTCTTGTAAGCCGGTGGCCTCGACCTATATATAAAGACGAGTTCCCGGCATAGAATAGATAGGTTACAATCAATCGATAGCTAGGTCAAGCGAATCCTCTCCCTTGTAATCGATACTCAAGCAATAAGCAACAAGAGTAGGGGTAGGCTTTTACCTCCACCATGAGGGGCCGAACCTGGGTAAACTTGTGTCTCTCATCCTGCTCAACCCTAACAAGTTAATCACTATCACGATGGCCTCACACCTAACTCCTTTCACTAGGACATCTGTCGTGACAAAACCACGACAGTTGCGCCCACCATTGGGCCAACGGACGGTGGTTTCGAGTTCTTGAAGGGCTCTTTCCCAGGGATCGAGGGATACGCCGTTGGCAGGATGTCCAAGAGTCGCCACGGCAAGCTCTACATCCATGATACTGGCTGGGGCCCTGAGGCCGTCTCAATCGAGTATGGGTACCGGGTCCCCTTCGGCGGAATCCACGTCTTCATCGGCAAGATCGATGGATCAAAGCCTGAGCCGGACATCTACACCAACATCATCGAGCC